AGAGATGAGCCCCCCCTCCCCCAGGGGCCCTGGTGCATGCTGGGAAGACCCCTGAATCACGGGGGGTGGGGGGGTCAGACCCACCTGCTCTATTATACCCACTTTGCTCAGTTTTGGTGCCTACGGGGTGGGGGGGTAGCTCGTGACGTCATTGTGGGGCCCTTTGCGTGGGACTCCCCAGATCCAGCCCCCCCCCCAGGTTGTCTGCGGGGGGGGGGGGAGCCAGGTGCTGTTGGGGTCACACTCACCAGTCCCTGAAGGTGAAACTGGACCCAGAGCACCCAGCTGGGGGGCTGACCCTGGGGGGCTCAGTGGGGGGCACTGGGGGCTAATATCCAGCCTGGGGGGTCACTGCTGGCCCTGGGATGCTCGGCGGGGGGGCACTGGGACCAGCAGGCATCCAGGAGCCGGATGGCTAGAGCCGGGGGCTGGCACCTGCCCAGGGAGCTGGCGAACGCCCGGGCCCCACATGCGGGTCCTGACTCAGCCGCCCAGCGAGGCCCAGCGGGGGCGGCTCATTGGGGGAGGGGGGGCTCTGCCTGTCAGCGTCTCCTGGGCGTTGCTGGGCTCAGCTCCTGCTCCGGGACGGGGCGTCCCTCGCGCCCAGTGAGCAGCTGGGGCTGTCCCCTGACAACCGGACCCTCACGGTGCTGGGTGTCACCCGGGGCGACGCTGGCGCCTACCAGTGCGAGGTCAGGAACCCCGTCAGCACCAACCACAGTGATCCCAGCACCGTGACGCTGGCCTGTGAGTAACTGCAGCCCCGTCCCCCGGCCGCGCTGCCCCTGGTCCTGCCGGCATCGCCCAGCAGAGCCGTAACTAGCTATTTTTGTGCCCGAGGTAAGAATATAAAATTGCGGCCCCCCCCCAGCACCCCTGAAACACCCCCCCCCAGCGCGTCCTGCCCCACGGAAACAAACCCTCCTTCCAGGTTTTGGGGAGGGGGAGAAACGGCACGCATAGGGTGACCAGATCACAGCAGTAAAATAGGACCCACCCCCTCCCCACTCGGCCCCACCATCACACCTCTCTTCACCCCCTAGCCCCCCACTGGCTTGTTGCGTCCCTCCTAGTCAGTCCCCCACCCACCACTCGCCTCCTTTCGCCTCCTCCCTCCCCTGCCAGAAACCCCCATGCCCTCCCCCAGAACTCCTGCTGGCTCACTGCTCGCCTCTTTGCCCACCCGCCGCTTGCCCACCCAGTCGCCCCTGACTCGCCGCTCGCCCCCTCGCCCCCCCCGAGTATAAAGCCTCATTCAAATACCCAGGGGTCACTGTATTACTGCACATAGCAGTCAATCAATGCAGTTGTAGATAAATCTCTGCGTTATGCATTTTTGTATAATGTAAAAGAAAACTGTCTTTTTGCTAGAAGTAGAATAAGATCTTCCCCCCACTTTGTAATCAATTGCCCCATTGAATGAATGAGGAAGGCGTGCAAGGCAGGCACCTCCAGACAGCTGCAACCCTTGGAGAGGGGCTGGGAGCCAGACCAAGGACAATCAAACTTGTCAAGTGGACTGACTAGAGAAGAGCAGACATGCTGACAGCCTAGGGGGTTAGAAGCCAGCACCTTCCTTTGGGAACACCCTCTTTGCAGCATTGGCACAACCCCCAGCCCAGAGAAAAGCAGCAAAAAGGACCAACAGACACAGTCCCAGATTTTGAACCTGGGAGACTTGCCCCCATCCAGCCACCGACTCGTCACTCGCCTCGTCACCCCCCACCCCAAGTATAAAGCCTCATTCAAAGACCCAGGGGGTCACTATATTAATGCACACAGCAGTCAGTCAATGCAGTACCAAAAATTAAATTACTGAAAATGGATGCCCCCCTCCATCCACCGACTCGCCACTCACCTCCTCACCCCCCCCCCCCCCCCCCAAGTAGCAGGGGTGGACAGGTTTGTAGAAAATTTTGGTGGTGCCCAGAACGCTCAG